CCGCCGCTGTGGGAGTGCGGAGAGGCGGGCGGCGGGAGGAGAAGGAGGCGGGGTTGGCTAAGTAGCCAATCAGGTGCCAGAGTGAAGCGCTTAGGCGACAATCCCAACCTTAGATAGGGCGGGGCTCTGGCGTGGGGGCGGGGAGAGGAGGGCGTATGCAAAATAAGTGATGAGCCTAATAACTCCGGCCTCCCAATTGGCCGGGGGTTTAGCCTTAAGGGCGGGCATTTAGAGGGCTGGCTGGTTGGTGACTTGGCTGAAGAGGTTCGGCCGGAGGGGCGGGTGCTTCCCGTCTGAGCGCATGCGTACGGCTCACGTGTGTCTCCTCGCCCAGAGCCAACTGTGGAGTTGTCGTTTGAACTTTCGCGAAACGGAAAAACGCTGAATTAAGCCCACTGTGTTAAAGATTGTTCCCCCGACCCCTCCGCTTGTCTTAAACCCTCTGTGATCTAGCAGTCTCTGCTTTTCAGTTTTACAGGATGAGTATTTTGAAAGTGAGAGGAGCAGCGGGCTTGAAGTTTAGGTACCGTTTACTAAAAGAGCATTAATAAGCCATAAGGTAGATAGAAGGGGATTGATTTTGTATGAACTCCGCCCTCTTCTAGATGACCTTCAAGCCCCTCGATGCTAGTTATTGCAAGACATGGGAAGAGAGTACCTGTTAGCTGCCCAACACTGCTTAACACGCACTGAATGCGAGATAAATGACTTTTAAATACATTTAAAGGATGCCCCGCCCTGACTTCAGTCTGGATGAAGACCACAGTTTGTCCTTAGCTTCTATCCCTGATAAAATAGGGGAATGGCACGTAATTGAGGTGGAGACCAAAATGACGTGCTGAACCTGACTTTACCATGTAAGTAACTTCAAGGCCTTGAGAATGAAGTGGATACGTGTACATGAAAAAGGTGGTCCAGTGTGAGACATTAAACTTTCCACTTCCTCTTTCTAAGGGCTGAGGAGAGAGCTGTCACAACCACTGAGGAAATGACTCAGGCAATATTGGTAGCCCTATGGGGTAGATAGAACTCAGTAAATGAAGCGACTTGTCTTTTCCTTTACAATTTTCCCATTAAATGTCTTTTCCTACCTCCCATCTCCACTGCTATTAAAGAACTAAATTCTGAATATGTGAAAGAAGTTAATCAAAGACCTAGTCTTGGCCAACAACAAGGTTATATATTAGTCCCCAAACATAAACTGCCTCCAGCCACTCAGTATGTGTCCCTAGGTAACTTCCCTCTGTGACACCACGTTTCTTCCTGTGATGCAAGCCAAGTTCAGTACTGCCCAGCAGCACTGCCCTCCCTTAACATGTCTAATCAATTTCTTTCCTTCCTTCTTGTTTTTCTTTTTCCTTCCTTCCTTTCCTCCCTCCCTTCCTACTTCCTTCCATCCTTTCATCCTCCCTTCCTCTCTCTCTCTCCTTTCTTTCCTCATCTATGAAGCACTTATTTAGCTATATTTAAAGCAATGCGCCTTATTCAGAGGTGAGTCATTTGTCGTTCCTGCCTTCAACTTACTTATCATCTAGAAAAGAAGGTCTAGATATAAATAACCGAAACACAGTCTCTCCTTTCTTAGGTCCCCATCAATACATTTTGTCTTAAAGGAATTAATGACTTGAGAAAATACAGAGAAGGAACACAGTTCAGGGCTGACACAGCAGAATTTCCCACTACATTTTTCAATGGGATTGATGGCATGCTCCCAGAACTTGATCATGTGTGAGAAATTCCCATCAGGCCAGTAGAGAGACTGGTGTCTTTGTACTTGTGTCATTGTCTGTAGTTATTCTCTCCTCTGTGAAGCTTGTCCCTTCCTCTTTGAATCCCATTCCTGAAACTGACAGCATTTATTCCCTTCAGTTGCTCCTCTTACATCTCCCCTGCTACCCTCCTCCAAATTGGTCACACAGTGCCCTGAATCCTGCCATCAGCATCCCCTCATTATCACCCAGCCCCCATCCCTGAAGCATCCTCCAGCTCACTCTTGATGAGGGTGTCTTCCCCATCCTTAAAGCAAAACAGACCTTCACTTGTCCTTGCTAGATGGAAAAACTGAAAAATGATGAGGACTCAGACTATTCCCAGGTAGTTTAGCACCTCTTTGAAGGTTCCTAATGCTGTCTGAATATGGAAATTTCTCTCTGGGTCCTCTGAAGCGGTACAAACCAAAGGACATCCTTTATCTCCCTCAACAAGGCCTGCTGAGTTCCAATATTCTGTGAGCTCAAGAGCTGGCAAAGGGCAGCTGGGCCCAGCCGCATTGTCCCAGGGTTCTTTTCTGCTGAGCTACTTGTTCCAAGTTCCATTCTGCTACCTAGGCTGGAAATTCCACTCATGCTCAGCTCAAAGGAATGCAGCTCATGCTGGCCAAAGAGCTCACCAGGAAACGGGTGGCTAGGATCCTTTTTTTCATTTGCGGCTTCCTCTCTAACATCTGTGAGGCAGACTATTCCACTGTCTGAGCTGTTCCTCCCTTTTCCAACTGTGGAGCTACTACTTACAGGTCACCTCCTCTGGGGAGGTCACTTCTGACCTTACAAATAGCTTAGTTTCCTGAATCTCACAGGCCCAGAGTCCTTTCATTTGGTGTATATGATGCCTTCCCAGTATTTGCATGATTTGTTGGTTTAACCAATTTCATTTAGTGCCATGCTCTAAACAGCTGAGCTAACTGACTAGCCCCCTTTTTTTAATTCAGTCATTATTTATATAAAACATTTATTTAATGAGCACCTACTATCTGTCAGGCCCTATGCTAGGAGTTAAGGATAAGTTAGTCAGATATAGCCCTACACTCACAGAACTTACAGTAATCTGATAGCTAGAAGCAGGTTCACAAGTACATACAATTATAGCACATTGAAAATTCTAGAAGGTAGGAATTGTGTTTGGCATACAGCCTACATCACACAAACATTAGACTAATGTTTGTAAAATGAAAAATGTCATTATCCCTAATTTTCCACATTAGCTGAGGAATGCACAAACCATGGACTATCTTTTTTTTTTTAATTGAAACAGTTGATTATATATATATATATATCTGTTGGGCCATGGACTATTTTTTTTTTTTTTTTTTTTTTTATTTTTTTTAAAAGATGACCGGTAAGGGGATCTTAACCCTTGACTTGGTGTTGTCAGCACCACGCTCAGCCAGTGAGCAAACCGGCCATCCCTATATGGGATCCGAACCCGTGGCCTTGGTGTTATCAGCACCGCACTCTACCGAGTGAGCCACGGGCCGGCCCCTGGGCCATGGACTATCTAAAAGTGTTTCCCTCGGTTGGTTAGAGTGCCGCCTTGTAGCATCACAGTCAAAGGTTTGGATCCCTGTACTGGCCAGCTGCCAAAAAATTTTTAAAAATACACTGGCCAGCTACCAAAAAATAAAAAAGTGTTTCCTTGTTGGCTTCTGAACACATGCGAACTCTGTCACACATAACGAAGAATTCAACTTTCTCCCTCAACCTCTCAAACTCAAGTCCCTCCTGAGCTTATCCCTGGCATTAAGGCCCTAGTTGGAAGATCCATGGACAGCAAGAGGAGCAAGACCCCAGATACCAGTGACTGCTCAGGAGAGCTTATTTCCAGAAAGAGAGAAAGGGCTGCCATGCATTACCCTCCCCCCCACCCCCCCACTGCAATGCACACACACACACACCCTTCACCAAAACTTGGGAAAGGGAGTCAGGCTCATTAAA